TGCACATATTTACAAAAATGTCAACAATGCTTAAGAGCTTATTGTAAGAGGTAAGAAAGCTTTGCTGCTCTATCCCGCCCCCAACCCACCCCTTTGCCTTCCACTCAAACCCTAGAACCAAGTCTGACTTTTTAACGGTTACAGTTTTAAAAATTCTCCTGGGTGGTTACTTCCCTATCTCTAAATACTACAGTCATATCGCCACTTCTTTATTTATCAGACAGACAGGCTTTATCTGTGGACTTCCTTCCTATTCTGATAGATGAGAACTCAGTTCACTTACACCCTCCTCCCTCCCGATATGGATGTCTCCTTATTTTTAGTTCCTCTATTGTAATTTTAGGTAACTTATTTACTTGAGTTCCTCTTTGTAATTTTCTTAATATATGAATATTCACTTCCTGTTCTGCTAACTGTAACTTGTATCTCTCAAGTCCCCACTTTGCGTGGGTCCTCTTCCCTTCTACTTCCAAAATTCTCTCTGCGTGTTGTTTTCTATAAGATTTCAACAGAATAAGTGAAAAAGTTCAAATGACCAGCACAATGGAATATGACGTTTTAACAATGGCATTCAAAAAACTGTGAAGTTGTTCACGCGCATAAGCAAGAAACTAATAAAGGAACACACATCCATCCATCTTTCAGCTTCTTCAAATCTTAACATTATCACATATTTGCTTCCCTTTAAAAAGAGAAAACACTGGCAATCCACCGAGGCCCCATGTACTATTGATTGTATTTCTCTCCTACCTCAATGTTCATCATTATATAAAAATCGCTCTTATTCACTCAGCATTTACCATTCTACCACTTGATTTTATACTTTTGACACATACTTTGGCATCCATAAACATTATATATTAGGCTGGGCATGATGGCTCACGCCTGTAATCCTAGCATTTTGGGAGGCTGAGGCGAGTGGATAGCTTGCGCTCAGGAGTTTGAGACTAGCCTGGGCAACATGGTGAGACCTCGTCTCTACCAAAAATACAAAAATTATCCAGGTGTGGTGGTGCACACCTGTAATCCCAGCTATTCGGGAGGCTGAGGCAGGAGAATCACTTGAACTTGGGAAGTGGAGGTTGCAGTGAGCTGAGATTGTGCCACTGCACTACAGCCTGGGTGACAGAGCAAGACTCTGTCTCAAAAAAAAAAAAAAAAAAAAGTATAATATACAATTTTGTATGTCATACTTAAAATTTAACATTTTTATTGACACAATTTCATTCATTAGACTTACCATTCTGAATATCATTTGATAGTGTGCTTAACATCCTAATTGCTTACTATTATAAATGATGCTGCTATAAGTACTTTGGGTATTCTTAGCATAAATGGGGGAAAGGAATGCTAAGAAAAATTAGCAAATAAATTTTTAAAAGAAAGATAAATGTGGGAGATTTAGAATTTACCTTTGGATTCAATGGAACTGGGTCCTGTTTCTTATACATTAATTATGTTTTAGCCTAACCTAGTAGCTATGAAGTTCTGCTCACAGAATTAAAAAAAAAATCTGGAGACATTTATAAATGAGAAAAAGCATAGATGATAATAAAAAATATACATGTATCTCCTACAATTAATCAATGTTCAGCACAATATTTTTTTTTTTTTTTAGAGGCAGGGTCTTGTTCTGTCACCCAGGCTGGAGTGCAGTGGTATAATCATGATCATGGCTCATTGCAGCCTTGAGCTCCTGGGCTCTGGCAACCCTCCTGCCTGAGCCTTCTGAGTAGCTGAGACTACAGATATGGGCCACCACACCTGGCTAATTCTTAATTTTTTTTTGTAGAGATGAAGTCTTGCTATGTTGACCAGGCTTGTGGGAGTTCAGTCAGGCTGGTGGAAAAAATTTTAAAGATAGTTATAAGAAATAGAGCAAACCTTCTTGGAAGTCTGTGGGGGTTTACATCGCTTCAGTAACAGATTTGGCTGAAGACAGCCTAATCCTCTCTACCTTTAGCTGACAGCAAAAAAGCAAATAATAAGGGAATATGGGGAAGTTTATCTGAATAGCTTGTTTACTCATGTAGTCCTAAAACCAACCTTTGATCAACCTCAGGTGTATAATTGCTTTCTATTTGGGGGTTGAGCAATGTTAATTACCCTCTAGTGGTGTTTACTCGAGACCTTTGTCATTTAATCTGTACTAAATAAATGTGAACTTTGCTAGCTTATTGAGGTGATGCTCCAGACCAACAGCAGAGCCCCTTAGCTAGACTGACAGGCAAAATACCTGTGTCAGTGTACGTCTCTCATCTATCACTGGGTCAGGGTCTGCGGGCTGGATTCCTGCACAGGCTGGTCTCAAACTCCCGGGCTCAAGCGATCCTCCTGCCTGAGCCTTCCGAGTTGCTGAGACTACAGATATAGGCCACCACACCTGGCTATTTTTTAAATTTTTTAGTAGAGATGAAGTCTTGCTGTACTGCCCAGTCTAGTCTTAAACTCTTGGGCTCAAGAGCTCCTCCTGCGTTGGCCTCCCAAAGTGCTGGAAGTACAGGCATGAGTCACGGTGCCGAGACAGACATGTTTTTAAAAATAAAGGAATACTCCTGAGACGCTGAAGTCTTCTTTGTACCCCTTTGTGATAACATGAGTAGCCTCATTTTTTTTTTTTTTTTTTTTTTTTTTTTTGAGACGGAGTCTCGCTCTGTAGCCCAGGCTGGAGTGCAGTGGCCGGATCTCAGCTCACTGCAAGCTCCGCCTCCCGGGTTCACGCTATTCTCCGGCCTCAGCCTCCCGAGTAGCTGGGACTACAGGCGCCCGCCACCTCGCCCGGCTAGTTTTTTGTATTTCTTAGTAGAGACGGGGTTTCACCGTGTTATCCAGGATGGTCTCGATCTCCTGACCTCGTGATCCACCCGTCTCGGCCTCCCAAAGTGCTGGGATTACAGGCTTGAGCCACCGCGCCCGGCCATGAGTAGCCTCTTAATGACACCAAGGAAGAAGTTAGTCCCAAAGTAGCTCACATAAATGGTGATAGAGGAATGAGGGGTGGGTGTGATCTATGCAAAAAACCTTTTCTCTTTAACGGGTTGCTGTTTCTAACATAATTGCAGTAGTACCCTATGTTGCTATAATGCATTATAGTTTTCAACGTGCTTTTGTGGCCTCCATAATAGAGGGGTTGTGAGGTAAGCTTCAACCACAGCTGCCCCACTACCCAAGAGAGGATACACAATGATGAATAGGTGAATTTCTGCCTCTTAGTTTCTTAGCTGGGGAGGGGCACTTACTGGAACAGCACAGAAAACAGAGTCTTTGGCCCAGTTGGGGAATCTTTATCAGGTTATGCTACTTCAAGCTTTCCTCCTGTTAAATGTGAGAGGAATAAATCCCTGTTCCTTGGATCAGTGTGACTCTGAAACAGCTGGAAGAGAGACAGTTTTAGGCAGGTTGAAACAGAGAGCTCCAGCATATGTACTTTTTTTTTTTTTTTTTGAGATGGAGTCTTGCTCTATCGCCCAGACTGGAGTGCAGTGGTGCGATCTTGGCTCACTGCAAGCTCCACCTCCTGGGTTCACGCCATTCTCCTGCCTCAGCCTCCTGAGTAGCTGGGACTATAGGCGCCCGCCACCACGCTTAGCTAATTTTCTCGTATTTTTAGTAGAGACAGGGTTTCACCGTGTTAGCCAGGATGGTCTCGATCTCCTGACCTCGTGATCTGCCCGCCTCGGCCTCCCAAAGTGCTGGGATTACAGGCGTGAGCCACCCGCCTGGCCTCAGCATACGTAATATTAGGAGAAAAGATTTCTAAGGATTAACAAGAGAGCAATGCTGGGCATGGAACATCTCCTCCAAATAAAGAAAGCAGCACTTTCTAAAGCTCAAGCTGATTTGAAAGTTGCTGAATCGAATGGAGCTTTGAAAATAGAAACAGGGGCTACATATAATACGATAATACTGGGCTTGCTCCACTTTTCCAGGGATCCAGGTGCACATTGCTGGGTCCCAGGCTGGTTGATGCTGGCAAACTATAAGACAAGCATGGAGAAGAAAATACATGGTGAAAAGTAAAGACAGAAGTCTTAAAAAAGAAGAGAGAAAGATATTTTTGAAATTAATGTCAAAGGTGTGTGTGTGTGCATGCATATATATACGTATATATAATAATAATAACTGTACAGTAAGGTGACCCCAGTTTCAGCTTATTCAGGGGAAATCACCAATTATATCTACAATGTATAACAGAAGAAGCATGGCTTCAAGCCCTTGAACATTTAAGCTAGAGAAGCAAGACAAATAGTCACAAAAGAAAGCTCAGTATTTCTAATATATACATATCCCCGATAGACACACATATGCATACATATATATATGTATGCATACACTCACACACATACATACACATATGTATACATATATATACACACATTTGTGAAATAAACATTTATGTATAATTGAAAAGATCAGCCAGGCACGGTGGCTCACGCCTGTAATCTCAACACTTTGAGAGGCCGAGGCAAGCAAACAGCTTAATCTCAGTTCAAGACCAGCCAGGGCAACATGACAAAACCCCATCTCTACAAAAAATACAAAAAAATTAGCCAGACATGGTGGCATGTGCTTGTAGTCCCAGCTATTTGGGAGGCTGAGATGGGAGGATCACTTGAGCCTAGGAGGCAGAAGTTGCAGTGAGGCGAGATCATGCCACTGTACCCCAGCCTGGGTGACAGAGTGAGACCCTGCCTCAAAAGAAAATAGAAGAATAAGGACAAACCCGAGCTTTCAATAAACTCCATAACTTATTTCATTTTCACATAATAACTGCTGGCTAGATTCAACATGAAGACCCTAATTAGCATCTGTATTCCCCATGGTGTGACACCTCCTATTTAACCCCTAGCTAGAACTGACCATACCCCTTCTGATAACCACAGATAATTTTCATCTTGGCTCATATTTCAGCATGAACCACCATCATAACGTGTTACATTATTTCATTTGTCCTTTCCCACTAGGCTTTGAAGTCTTTAGGATAAGAACCATGTTCTTACCTTCCCATCTCTGGCACCTGATGTGTTATTTGGCCAATGTATGTACTCAGCACATCCTCAGTGAGTCAGCACATCCACTGCCAGTCACAGAGAGATGGGTTGTGCTGTTGAAGCAACTTCTTCCTACCGTCTCGTGCAGCCCTTGCAGCTTTGTTCTCTTCTTTAGGCAGACAATCAACAGCTATCGTATGTAATTCACAGGGGCTTTCTTGTATTTTCTCCCATGGGGAAATAACTGCCATCCCTCTTCCTCCAAGGCTAATATACAAATTCTTCCAATGTGCTGTTAAAAAACAAAAAAGACTATTAAGGACCTAAGATTGAGACAGAAAGGAAAAGTTTTACTGCCAAGTGGGGAACCTGGCACAAACAGAGGCAACAGTCTAGGAGACCCTCAGGGATGAGATTTAGAAGAGAAAGGAGGTAGGTCCTTTAAAACAGAAACACTAAAACTATCTCTGTCCCACATTATGAAAGTAAAATGTCTGGGTGATGTTGATTGGCTGACAAGGTCTGCGTTTGTTGTTACATAATTCTGGGGCTCATTGGGCTGGTCACTGTGCACTGTTGGGGCCATCTTGGGATAATGGTATCCAGGTGGACCTCAGGCGATCTTCCTGCCTCAGCTTCCGAAAGTGCTGGGATTATAGGCACGAGCCAGCGCACTGGGTCTCACTTCTCTATTTCTATGGAGATCATATGTAACCCTTGTCTCCTAAGCGGTGGGTGACTCCTCTCTTGGGCAGTGCTCCTTCTATGAGACAAGGGAGAAGAATGAAACTCCTTCAATGCCTACTATATGGCAGGAACTCTACCGCACTCAGAAACTTACAAACAACATTAAGTGGTTATCATCATTTACAGAGGACACCACAAAGCTATTAAATGGTAAATTTAGGGTTCAAAGCCAAGTCTAGTTTGGCTTTCAAACTTTGGGTGATAGCCCTGGATGTCCTTCAACAGCCTCAATAGGCCACAGTGACTCTCCCACTACCAATGAGTGACCGAGCAGCTGGCTATGACATAGGAGGCCAGATATGTATCCCAACCCAGACTTCTAGGTCTTACAAGTCCTGGTTAGTTCACTAAGTGAAGGACTAGCAATTTGCCAGTCAAGAGAACTGCTCAGCAGCATAAAATGCTCTCTAGTCAGGAGGAAAGACAAAGGAAACAATAAAGAGAAAACTGTGAAAGGTTGAAGGATTGAGGTTACAAGAAACTAATTAACTATGCTAACCTTATATTGGTTTTGATAGTGAAAAAAGCAGTATGTAAAAAACACATGGTATAGAAAATGCCTTTTATGCTAGACTGTACTGAAATTTAAATGAGGTAATGCATCTGAAAGCGCATTACTTTTTTTTTTTTTTTTTTTGAGACGGAGTCTCACTCTCTTGTTCAGGCTGGAGTGCGATGGCACAATCTCGGCTCACTGCAACCTCTGCCTCCTGGGTTCAAGCGATTCTCCTGTCTCAGCTTCCCCAGTAGCTGGAATTACAGGCGCCTACTACCACACCCAGCTAAGTTTTTGTATTTTTAGCACAGACGAGGTTTCACCATGTTGGCCAGGCTGGTCTCGAACTCCTGACCTCAGATGATCCACCTGCTTCGGTCTCCCAAAGTGCTGGGATTACAGGCATGAGCCACTGCACTCAGCCAAGTGCATTATTTTTAAAAGTATAAAGTATTACGCAGCCATGAAGGATTATTTGTGCAAGAAGAAAGCTTTTACAGGAAAAACTTGAAACATTGGTATTTTTGCCTCCTTTTTAACAACTAGAGTCATTTTGGGAGTTGTTTCTTGTCAAAGAAACAACCCATGTTTATTTTCCCAGTATGGCAGGACCATGTAGGAAAGCAAAATTAGCGCTCAGGAGAGGAAATTCTCTGAGACTCTATAAGACTCCATTACCCTCCTCTGAACTATGGCCAAAAAGATTGGATAGCACTTTTTAAGGTAGTTTAAGAAAAATAGGCGGTGCATGGTGGCTCATGTCTGTAATCCCAGCACTTTGGGAGGCCGAGGCGAGTGGATCACCTGAGGTCAGGAGTTCAAGACCAGCCTGATCAATATGGTGAAACCCCATCTCTACTAAAATTACAAAACTTAGCCAGGTGTGGCGGCAGGTGCCTGTAGTCCCAGCTACTCAGGAGGCTGAGGCAGGAGAATTGCTTGAACCTGGGAGGCGTTGGTTGCAGTGAGCCGAGATTGTGTCACTGCACTCCAGCCTGGGTGGCAGAGCGGGACTCCATCCCAAAACGAAAAAAAGAGAGAGAGAAAAAAAGAAAAATATATAGTGAGCACAATAAAGCTGTATAATTTAAATTAAACGTGAATAGCATGCCTGGAGACGTTGTACCTAGAAAAATATTTCTACCCAAAAAATCAAATTTTATTTTCTCTTATAGATATTCAATCTGCTTTCATCTCAGTTCTCCCTACCTTATCAAACCTCTCCCCACATTTCCTATTCTTTTTCTCGCCAGCCTGATGTCTTTCATTGTACTGCTTAAGAGAAATGTTATGTTACTATTCTTTTCTCCCAGAACTGTTTCTCTGGTTCTTTAAGGTATCTGAGTACACACTGTGCCTTCTTCCTTTTAGCCCTCCCTTCTCCTTGTTCCCTGAGCCTTACCTTTACGACCTCAGAACTTCAAGTTCCCACTACAATTTTAAATATAGACTATTTTGCTTTTCCTCCTACGAGGGAGCTTAAATTGCCTCTAATTACACTGTTTTCCCGAGTCCTTCCTCTCCTTTGCAATTTAGATATAGCACAGAAGTACATTTTGCTTGACTGTCCTCTGAACTGTCATGCTGTTTTGATGCGGTTCTATGGTCCAAGAGTCTTGGTTAAATAATGGCCCAGCACCCACCTGTGTTTAAAAGAACTGCTTCACAGGCAAATCAAAAAGCCCATGGATCCGAAGTCACAATGGGTGTTGCTATTCAAACAGCACCGGATTGCTATTCAATGCTTGGTTGAAAAATAAATTTCAATTTCATTCACCTAAAATATTTCCTTCTATTTTGTAGGATTGTATGCTCTCACTTCAAGCTGGACTTGATCACAAGTGGACATTAACATAGTCTTACAGATTAGCCTGTTTTCATTGGTCCAGAGTATTCTCCAAATAAAGCAGGGTCTGTGCATTTGAAGCAACTCCCCTGAACAATTTCATGGGCATTCTCAAACTTGAGAGCTACTTGAAAAGCTGTGTTGGAGAAAAGAACCACCAATGAATGTGGCAGGACAGAATGTTGAACATTAACTTCCCTTTTCCTCTTCTCCCATCTGTTCTCTTCCATTATCCCTACCACTCCACTCAGTCTCATTATTCAGGCAACAGTTATTTTGCCTTTATTTCCTCAAGAAAGGAACAAAAGAAAACAGAATTGCTTTCTGATTTTTTTTTTCCATTTTAAAATGGACTTTGAAATCATAAGCAAAGAGGTGTTTAAGAGTCTTTCCAAAGTCAAACATGAAGGTTTTGAAATTTCGAAGTCACTGCCTTGAAGAGACTCGAGGCTTGGAGTGTGTACAGTATGTCAGAGCCGGACTTTTCTCCTTCCTGAGACTAGATGATTGTCTGAATCCAAGACAGTCTTCACGATTTCAGAGGAAGTGGTCAAGTGGTCTCTGAAGTAGACCTTCCGCTTAAGAGTAGTCAGGAGGCCGGGCACCGTGGCTCACACCTGTAATCCCAGCACTTTAGGAGGCCGAGGTGGGCAGATGACCTGAGGTCGGGAGTTCAGACAAGCCTGACCAACGTGGAGAAACCTCGTCTCTACTAAAAATACAAAAAATTAGTCAGGCATGGTGGCACATGCACTCCAGCCTGGGCGACAAGAGTGAAACTCCGTCTCAAAAAAAAAAAAAAAAAGAAAAGAAAAGGAGCAGTCAGGATGTATGCCTCCAAAGCTGAGGTAGGGAGAAAGACACCAGAGTTCTAGAGGCCTGCCAGCCGCAGCAGCAGCAGAAGGAAGGTGTGGGGGAGAACAGGGCAGCCAGGCCTGTGCCACCTCCCAGACACAATTCTAGGGAATGGAGGGTAAGTGGTGATGGGAGAAAATCTTGACTTAATTTATGTCAAGATTAAAGAAATGCCACCTGGTGGCATTTAAGTTCACACATAGGTAAAGAAAGTTATGCATTTTCTGTGAAATTCATCCCACTATTTGGCAGAAACAGGAGCTCTGGATTCAGGTCAAAAGTCTCTTTTGTCAACTGTGGCACCACTGAGCAACTGCTCAGCTTTTGTGAATCCTGGGTTCTTCATTATTAAAATGGGAACATTAACGTTGGGTTGAGTATAAGAAATGGACATTTCTGCAGGTCAAAAATGGTTGAATATTTGCATTTTCATATGATTCAACCTAATACTTACTTCACAGGCATAAGGAAAAAAAAATAGAATAACATACAAACAACTGTCCCTGGAGTAAGTACTTAACAAATACATGATTTATAAAGAAGATACGTGAAAGATATTTGTTAAGTATATGATTTATAAAAAGATATGTAAATATGTACACCCTTGTTGTCTAATCATCATAGAATAACCTGAGCTTAAAATCCCTGCTCCCTACCATACAGAAGGCAAAATGCCTATTAGGGGTTTTCTTTCTTCTCCCTCTCCTTCTTTTTCCTCCTCCTCTTGACTCCTCATCATCCTCCTCTTTCTTCTTCCCCTTAAAGTTTAATGTCTAAAAAGGGGCTGAGCACGGTGGCTCATGCCTGAAATCCCAGCACTCTGGGAGGCTGAGGTGGGCAGATCACCTGAGGTCAGGAGTTTGAAACCAGCCTGGTCAACACGGCAAAACCCCATCCCTACTAAAAATACAAAAATTACCCAGGCATGGTGGCAGGCACCTGTAATCCCAACTACCCAGGAGGCTGAGGCAGGAGAATCGCTTGAACCCGGGAGGCAGAGGTTGCAGTGAGCCAAGATTATGCCACTGCACTCCAGCCTGGGTGACAGAGTGAGACTCTATCTCAAAATAATTAAAAATAATAATAATAATAATTTCTAAAAAGGTAATACATTCTCACAGTTCAAAAACCAAAAGGTATAAAAATACAGCAAAAAAGTCCTATCATATCGCTGTCTAGAGTACTATTTCTTATATATTTTCCTGATTTTTGAGTATTTTAACATGTGAGTGTTGGATATGAGTGTTAGATTTGAAAAGTTTGATGATAATTTGTATATATTTATGTGTGGATGTGTGTGTGTGTGTGTGTGTGTATAGTAGTCCAAGACGATCAGTTTATGAATAGTAAGAGGAGACCCACGGAAAACCAGTCCCTTTGACCAAGTTCACTCAGATAATCAGCAGCAGGACTTGGACATTAACTACACTTATCCAACATCCTTTGAGGTCTCACATGACAAATTACAAATATGGAGTGTAAATGTAACCCACTCTGCTAGGCAAATAAAGCCTTCTTTTTTTTTTTAATTTTTTTTTTTTTGTTGGTTTATAGGCAATAGAAGCCAGGGTGACGTACAGTCAAACCTCATTTCTCATGGCTTTCATATCTGCAAATTCTCCTACTCATTAAAATTTATTTGTAACCCCCGAATAAATACCCACAGCACTTTTGTGATCATTGGCAGACATGCGCAGAAAATAAAAAAAAAATTGAGTTGTTGATTGTACACATTCCCATCTGAATTTCAACAAAGCAACACTCTGCCTTCCCACTTCAGCTTTCTTACTATATGTGTGTCCTTTTTCTGTTTATTTAGTACCATGTTTTTCACACTTTTGTTCTTTTTGGTGATTATTTTGCTGTTTAAAATGGCCAACAAATATAGTGCTAAGTGCTGCCTAGGATTCTTAAGCACGAGAAGGCTATGATGTACCTTACAGAGAAAATATGTGTGTTGGATCAGTTTCACTCAGGCATGAGTTATGGTGCTATTAGCTGTGAGTTCAATGTTAACAAATCAACAATGTATGCTAAAGTGTTTTTAAACAGAAACACACATAAAACAAGGTTATATGTTTGGTTGGCAAAAATGTCGTGACCAGAAGCTTGCAGAAACCTAAACCTGTATTCCTTTAAGAGCAATGGTTCATTATTCACTAATTCAATGTTTACAGCAACTTTATAAACTATAACTACCATGAATAATGAGAATTGACTGTATTTTAGATCATAATACCTGAAGTGAACTTTTCCATCATGGTTTTTAGTTCTTAGAGTGCCTCGGATTAAGTTTTTAAAAAATATGATAACTGTGCTCTCATATCCCACATTCTTGAGGTAAAAAAAATATTTTATTGGGTACAGAAATGGCTCCTGCATGCATTTTTGGAGGGGCCGGACCTCTGAGGAAGCCATGGTTGGCTCAAGTGGTTTAAATGTATTGCTAATTTCATAGCCTCTGAACCACTTATGAAATAATACTGATGATATGTCAGCAGCTGTGTTTGCAGCTCCTTCAGGAATGCTTATATCTTTTACTACTGGTAAAGAAGAAATTTATAGTAACATATTTTTTTTTTTTTTTGAGATAGAGTCTCACTCTGTCGCCTAGGCTGGAGAGCAGTGGCTTGATCACGGTTTACTGCAGCCTCGATCTCCCAGGCTCTCCCACTGTAGCCTCCCCAGTAACTAGGGCCCCCACACATGCATCACCACACCCAGCTAATTCTTTTATGTTTTGTAGAGAGAGTGTCTTACTATGTTTTCCAGGCTGGTCTCGAACTTCTGGGCTCAAGCAATCCTCCTACTTTGGTCTCCCAAAGTGCTGAAATTACAGGCATGAGCCACTGCACCTGGTTTCTGGTAATCTTAAGTAGAGACTTATGAGTGCATACCATTGTATCACCAAACTGGGACTCACTTTTATCTTTCTGTTAATAGCCAATGCAGTTTTTCTGTTAATTACAATGAAAATCAATGGTTGCTTAGCAAGCTTTTACTCATAACTCCAAGTTTTGTGACTTATAATGAGAAATGGGTATAACTCTTTGTAATTTGTTAAAATGCAGATATTTCCAGGAGAGATAACATATAAAACATAACAGTTTCCTATCATTATTTTTATCCTTTTGAACCACTGTATACTATGGACAGACAAAGGCAGTTTTGGCCACTTACTCCTCAGTGTGAATAAGTTGACCAGATGTTTTCCAGAACCACAGGTTCTGTTAAGAGACAATGTGGAGAGAAATGGGTGGGCAGGTATGGAAAGAAGAGTCAGAAACAGATAGAGAGCTGATCTCTATAAATGGCTCATTATCGGTTGAACTGTGTTCTCTTCTCCGCAAAAAGATACGTTGGAGTCGTAACCCCCAGTACCTCAGAATGTGGCCTTATTTGGAGATGGGATATTTACAGAGGTAAGTTAAAATAAAATCACTAGAGTGGGTCCTAATTCAATACGACTGGTATCTTTATAAAAAAGGGGATATTTAACCACAAATACAGACACACACATAGGGAGAGTGCTAGTGAAGATGAAGTCAGAGATTGGAATGATGTAGCATTGCCAGCAAACCACTAGAAGCTGGGAGAGTCGCGTAGAACAGATTCTCCTTCAGTCCTCTGAAAGAACCAACTCTCCTGACACCTGGATTTCAGACTTCTAGCCTCCAGAGCTGGGGACAATGAGTTTCTCTCATTAAGCCATCATCCAGTGTGTGGTACTTTGTTATAGCAGTCTTAGCAAACGCCTGGTTCCTTAAACCATGCATTTCCATGCGTTTATTTTGTTTAAATAATAAAACGAGTCCCTCTTGTGACTCGTAGTTCTGTTCCATTTCAAAAAAACCAAAGGAAGATTTATTTAGAAGCTAGACATGATGAACTGGATCTTGCCCAAGGTCATAAAACCACAAAACCCTTTACAGAGCACAGAAGTCTGATTTTTCAAAGCTTGTCTCAAAAGATGGGTCACTCCTTAGTCATTTAGGCCACTGACAACTGCCCTGGACTCTTTTATATATATTAAGCTTATTATACGACTTATAATTGATGCTTTCACGTCATGGGAAGATCAAATGAATGCAGACAGCGAGTATGTTTCTGGAGGGAGAGCAGCGAGTATGTGTCTTGAGAGGAACAGCAGTGTTGACTGTGCTTTGCTACCTACTCTGGGTGCTGATTACATCTTTCTTTTGTGTAGGGAAATCGACTTGGAGCTATTTTGGGCTCAGTGTGGGCATCATTCTTTGTACACTCTGCTCCTTTCCCCCATGATTTTTCTATTGATGGGGGATTACTAAAGAATGAACGAAATGAAAGTGGCTTTTAAAAAATTTAAAATGACTCTCACTATGTACTGTGTATTTTCAGTCACATATTCATTAATTATTTCATGTCTCCCCTGGAAGTTTTGGAGATGTGAGCCTTGTAATACCTACATGAATGCTTCTAAGATTATGATAATTGTTCTGCTCTTTGCCTAACAACTTGCCAAGTATTGTCAGCCTCAGTGTGTCAGGTGGGGTCCACTCAAACATCAGGGCCCAAGTCAGGTAGTTCAGTGACTTTAATACTAGGAACTAGTTACAAAGGAGTTGGAATGGCTGGAAAGACAAACTGGAGAAGAAGGGGAACCCCAGAGAGTAGTAATAGCAGGAAGCCTCTACCATCTACCTCTAGGACTGGGGAGGAGCTGAGTTAACAAAGCCCTGGACCCACTGCCAGGGAAGAAGAACCGCAATTGCAGAGGAAAAGTGGCCATTGTGAAGAAGGTGATGGTGGAGAAACTGTCTGAATCAGAGGGGAGAGGATATGTTGGCTCCTCCTCTTATTCTACCAGTGCTCCCACTTTATCTCCTTATCTTTCATTGTCCTAATTCATTCTGGGCATGGTTAAATGAGCCCAGGAAATGCAGTTGGCAGGAATCAGCTTCCTGTGATATAGACAGAGTAAGAGAAGGACAAAAATGAATGAATCTGAGAGCAAGCAGGCAAATGACCAGCACATTAAGCCTAGCACACAATATGTTATACGTGGTTTGGGATAGCAAAAGACGAAGGCAGGTCAGAGAAGCCAGAACCAGGGGGTGGGCAAAGCCAATGTGGTATGACGGGTATTGCATACAGGAAGCGGGTCATAAACAGGAGTGGAATCAATAATACTGGAGACTAGTATATAAACATCATATATATGAGTAGAGAAGCATAAAACAGTCTCCTGGAGATCAAGGAAACAGGAAGTTATAGATTTTTCAGGATAATTCAGCCATATCCAGGAAACAGAACATCAACACACACAGGGAAGTAACAAACAGTCAATAGGCTTAGAGTGGTACAATTCATTATGCACTTGTAGGAATTCATTCCAAATAATAGGCTGAAATGTAGACATGAGAATCCAAAAAAGACATTTTCTTAGTTTTTGCCAATATCTTAGCTACGCTTTTTTGTTGTTGTTGTTGTTCTCCAAAGCAAGTTAATGCTCACGTCTGCTTGGAAATTGTATTTAGGAACAGCTGCCAGGGTGCAGTGGCTCATGCCTGTAATCCCAGCACTTGGGGTGGCTGAGGCAGGAGGTGACAGAACAAAATCCTACTAAAAAAAAAAAAAAAAGTCAGGCACGGTGGCTCACGCCCATAATCCCAGCACTTTGGGAGGTCGAGGCGGGTGGATCACAAGGTCAAGAGATGGAGACCATCCTGGCCAACATGGTGAAACCCAGTCTCTACTAAAAATACAAAAATTAGCTGGACGTGGTGGCGTGCACCTGTAGTCCCAGCTATTCAGGAGGCTGAGGCAGAAGAATTGCTTGAACCCAGGAGGCAGAGGTGGCAGAGAGCTGACATTGGGCCACTGCTGTCCAGCCTATCGAGACTCTGTCTCAAAAAAAAAAAAAAAAAAAAAATGAAACTACTGAAATAGCTGATAATTAGCTTGCTTACTTGTTGTTACTCTTTCTCATGATGGACTATAAAGAAAAGTTATAACTATTTGAATTTTCTGCTGATTTGAAATTTCTATATAAACAGTACATTCCTGTTTGGTACTCAGAGGGCACTTATCTGCAAGAAAGGCAAAGAAAACGGAAAAGTTAATGAAAAAGGAATCACCCAATCCATGAACAGAACAAAACCATATACACAGTGAAGAAACTTACTTGTCTTACATTTTCTTCCTTGTATGACTTATCATTCATGGTAGTGACTACTTTGGGGCTTGAGTAAAGCTTCTCTAATTTATTCAATTTAACGTCACATGTGAAAAAGACACACAGATACTTTAGACATGATCATAACACTTTATCATTTATTTATTTATTTATTTATTTATTTATTTATTTATTTAGAGACAGAGCTTTGCTCTTGTTGCCCAGGTCGGAGTGCAGTGGGTGCAATCTCAGCTCACTGCAACCTCTGCCTCCTGGGTTCAAGCGATTCTCCTGACTCAGCCTCCTGAGTAGCTGGGATTACAGGCACGCATCACCACGCCCAGCTAATTTTTTGTAATTTTAGTAGAGGCAGGGTTTCACCATGCTGGCCCGGCTGGCCTCAAACTCCTGACCTCAGGTGATCCACCCGCTTCGGTCTCCCAAAGTGCTGGGATTATAGGTGTGAGCCACCGTGCCTGGTCCATAACACCTTATTTAAAAATAATCTCTCTGGATCCATACAACTTGTCTGGGTAACTAAATTGAAAATTATTCCTTGTTTTAAATTAATTCAATTGAAACATTTAAAAAATTTTTTTTGTTGCTAATCAAGCACTTTTTGGTGGAATCTAAATTAGCACGTGTAGGAGATGCCAGTTTCACTAATTATACAGGCATCTTGCAGTAATTAATGTTTGGGAGAAAGGAATGTCTTTTGCTTACTCTCTTATTCATCACAAAAATGTGAGTTTTGGAAAGTAATAATGGAAGCATGTAGAATTACAGAAATACAAATGTATATAATTATCACAAAAAATGAGGCCAAAGGACTGTTCGGATATAATGAGGCTGTGGTAGCTGTAATTATCTAGGAAATTAATAAAATTCATTCACCTAGAAATTATTAGTGAGTATCAAATATATGTCAGCACTAGGCTGGGGTCTGAGAACATACAGATAAACCATAGTTCTGGCTTCAGGGAGTTATATAGACTAGAGATAAAACCTAACTACAGGGGCTGGGCACGGTGGCTCACACCTGTAATCCCACCACTTTGGGAGGCAGAGGCGGGTAGATCACCTGAGGTCAAGGAGTTCGAGACCAGCCTGGCCAACATGGTAAAACCCCGTCTCTACTAAAAATACAAAAATTAGCCGGGTGGTAGTGTGTGCACCTGTAATCCCGGCTACTCAGGAGGCTGAAGCTGAGGCATCTCTTGAGCCTGGGGCGGAGGTTGTGGTGAGCCGAGATCACGACACTGCATTCCAGTCTGGGTGAGAGAGTGAGACCCTGTCTCAAAAAACAAAACAAAACAAAACAAAGAAAAAAACCAAACCTAACTACAGGGTTATGAGAGATGACTACTGGCATGAAGCCACAGGTACAACAAAGGGGATGTGTCCCCAGGCAAAGGGTAGTCAGCAAGCCTGCAACCTCAGGGTTCCCAGATCTGAGCCTCTGGCTCTTGGCTAGCCAAACCCCAAGCCTTGGCCTTCTGCCATGGCAAGCTGCAGCCTGGTCTCCCACCTTGAGCTAACATTCAGCTGTTGTACACGTAGCCACGCTTCCTGCTTACCTGTCACTTCCAGTTCTCAAGGGCACCCTTTGCAAACTAAAAGCCACCCCTTTTCACTTTTTTCACATCAAACAGATCATCTGGTCCTGTGGATTACATTTCTCAGAAATACCTCTGAATATTTGCCTGCTCTCCACCCCCACTGCCTCTGCAACAGTACAGGTGCTCACCATTTCTGACTTGTTCTGTCACATACTCACTTATCAGGTCTCCCCGTCTCCTGTTTTGACATGCTGTAAAGCAATTCACCACTGGAAAAAAGGGCTGTCTCTCTCTCTCTTTTTTTGAGACGGAGTCTTGCTCTGTTGCCCAGGCTGGAGTGCAATGGCATGATCTCGGCTCACTGCAACCTCTGTCTCCCATGTTCAAGGGATTCTCCTGCCTCAGCCTCCCTAAAGGCTGGGATTACAGGTGCACACTACCAAGTCCAGCTAGTTTTTGTATTTTTAGTAGAGGCGGGGTTTCACCATATTGGCCAAGTTGGTCTCGAACTCCTGATCTCAGGTGATCCACCCGCCTTGGCCTCCCAAAGTGCTGGGATTCTAGGAGTGAGCCATCGTGCCTGGCCTCTCTTTCCAAAGTATGTCATTATTTTTCCCAAGACCCTTTGACAGTTCCTCATTTCCTACATACCGTGGTTCTCAAACTTGGATGTGCTCCAGAATTACATAGGAAATTTTTCATTTTTTTAGACGACGTCTTGCTGTATTTCTCAGGTTGGTTTCAAACTCCTGACCTCGTGTGATCCTCTGGACTCAGTCTCCCAAGTAGCTGAGATTATCGATGCATGCCACTGAGCCCAGCTGGAATTTTTTTTTTTTTAAACACAGATTCCTGTGAATCAAAATTTCTAGAAGTGAGGTCTGAGCAATCTGTATTTTTAACAAGTTATCCAGATGGTTCTTTACTGTCAGTCTGGTTCTAGCTGAGGGAGTTTTAGAATTACAAGGCAAAGTCCAAACTTAGCACACAAAGTCATTCACATCAACTCTTCCCCTGTACACACCCTATGTCATAGCCAGAGTTGTAACCCATTTCTTAAACACCCAGGGTTCTTTTAAGTCTCTGTGTCATTGCATGTTATTTTCTCTAGAATTGCCTTTAACCTCCTTTCCACCCTGGAGAGCATTCCCTAAGCCAACTTTGAAGCTTTCTCTGATCTCTAAGTTAGAGTCCTCCTCTGCTTCTCAAACCCTGTGTTAATCACTTGTCATGGTGTACTTGAATTTTTACTTGTCTGTTTCCCTTTACTGTACTTTGACTTCAAAGGGTGGGGCTGCAAATTAGTCATCTCCTTAGAGTCTAGCCTTGTTCCTAGTTCCTAACTGGCACATAATATAAACGAATGAATGAAAGGAGAAATGAATGAAGAGAATGCTAGTTATGATAAGGAACTGGCTGTGTATGAGATGACTTCTCTTTATGAACTAAATATATGCCTTTTAATAAAATACTATCCACGTGTAGCTAGCACAAGCTCATCAGCATTTGAGATGATATGGAAACCAAAATAAACAAATGCTACCACAAAAACATAATGACTGCTTTCCCCAGTGCAGGATTGATGGAATCATCAAACATTGAGATTAATGTAATGTTTGGCAGATGTCCAGTGTTTTTATTTTTCATTTGCCTTTGTGTTCATTTATGGGCTAACAATATAATAAACACACACTCACAGTACATCTTTTTTTTTTTTTTCAAAGCCCAGTTTTTTTCATTGCATATTATTTGTTGTCATCTTTTACAGTATCCCCTTACTTAGTGTTGGTAGTACTTTTTTAAAGAAATATAAATCCCTAACCACTAAGCAAGAAATGAGACTCTTAATTGCATTAGTTTACAGTTCAATGTGAGTGTAAATAAGAATTTTTTAATGGACTTTTTCCCCTTGTTTTTGCTTGCCTTACATTCATTATCCCTCTCTGGGTAATAAACATTTATTTTTTCCTTTTGTAACCACTCCTCCCCTTCTGTCCATGTGGTTCTTTAGTGGAGCTGGTGGTAGGGAGGCGGTATGAGATTCAAGTTTGGCCACCTGGAGTTACAGTGTTGTGCTCCGGCAGGACACCTGATCCAAGTAAGCCAGTGAGAGTCAGTCCCAGGAGTTTTGCTTGGACCGCTGAGGAAAAGTGTACTCTGCCCTGTGGTTGATGAACCATTAGGACATAAGCCATTGTTGCCACTGTGTGAGTAAAGCTACCTGAGAATGAAGACAACACAGTGGCAAGCAACACCAAGAGAGAAAGAGAGGCAGATTCTGATGCCATTTTTGAGTCTTTGCATCCAGCTATGCCTGAATCCAATTTATCCCCTGGAATTTACACTTACTTGAGCTCCAACCACTTGAAAGAAAAAAATTTCTTTTTATTCTTAGCCTGATTTGAATTTGGCTTCTCTCATTTACTACCCAAAGTGTCTTGACCACTAGAATATTATGCCAGACTTTATAGCATCATTGAATTTGCTATTTTCCAGAAGAGTTGTGTGAATTTTCAATGTAGCTTTTACCTTCTATGAGTATCTAGAGATATATTTATGTAGAAGTACTCCATACTAGCTTGTTGTGAGATCTTAAGTCACTTAATTTCTCTGTATCCTAGTTCCCTCATTTGCTAGACTATGGAGCTATAATGTTTCATCTGCAAAATTATTATTTTGTGAAATATTCTGGAATATCTAACTGATACACTGCTAGAACTGACTGCTATTTAAGAACAATTGGTTGCTATTTAAGGATCATAATTCTCTAGGCATAAGTGCTGTGAGGGCACAGCGTGTGCATCAGGGGCTGGGGGGGTGGGGTGGAGCAGAAAGTAGGAGGAGAAAGTTTGATAAACTTCCTTTGGATAAACTGAAAAGTCAAATAATTTATAATTTATTATATTATCATCATTAGCTTCTTCTATAATTAGGAGACTTGTTCCAAAAAGTGAGAATTGTCACAAGTTGTCAATTTCATCGAAGGATGAAAATGGATGCCTCATTAAAAAAAAAGGAATCTCAGTCCAATTTCTTCTCATCACACTGGAATAAACTGCAGTTTTAGATTGAGATGAGGAAGAAAAAAAATCAAGGTACCGTTTGTACCATTTCCTGGATTTTCTCCTAACTGGCAAGGTCACATGTTTATATATTAGACTCCCAGTTTAACATACAGCAGACAATAACTTTTTTTTTTTTTTTGAGATGAGTCTCGCTCTGTCACCCAGGCTGGAGTGCAATGGCACCATCTTGGCTGACGGCAACCTCTGCTTCCCAAGTTCAAGCGATTCTCCTGCCTCAACCTCTCGAGTAGCTGAGATTACAGGCATAGGCCACCACGCCCAGCTAATTTTTGTATTTTTAGTAGAGATGGGGTTTCACCACGTTGTCCAGGCTGCTCTCGAACTCCTGACCTCGTAATCCACCCATCTCGGCCTCCCAAAGAGCTGGTCCACCCCTCCTTCTTTTCTCCCTTCTATCCTTCTCCCTTTTATTTCATTTTCTAAATATTAGACCATACTACAAATCAAAAGTCACAAACTGATAGGCTGCAGTGTAGATACAGCTGGGAAAACGTTTTGTTTGCAGAACAT